GACCTGCTGATCTAGCAGTAGCCTGCAGTGCTGCATTTAACCACTGCGCCACCTTGGCTCTATATATCTCCCTTGGTGATGGGACCCGCAGCATTCCCTGCCTCCCTGCTCTGGTGGGTTGGGCAGATGTGACCAGAAAGAGATGGTCCCCCAGATAACCTGGTTATCTGAGCAACTAGTTACTTTCCCATCTTTCATTAATAAGTCATTGCCTGCCTATAAAGACAGCCAGGAAAACCATCCGATCTTTATTGTCACTGCACATGGTACAACGACATTAAATGCCGTCTTCAGTGTACATTATAACTTTAAAAATAAAAACACAAACACACATCCTTTACTTTCTAAATAATTGAAATCGAAAACCCAATATTGCACTATACCATAGAATTCAATATGGTTGCTACCCCAGGATAGAAGTTATTTTTCAACCTATTTGTCCTTGTTTTTATTATGCTGTACCGGCTGCCAGATGGTAATAGTTCAAAAAAATGGTGCTCAGGATGAGATGGATCTTTAAGAATGTTTTGAACTTTCTTGGAATATAGATTGGCGGAAGAGCAAGTGGAGGAAACTATGGTAATGTGGGCCAAGAATTTTGGTTACAGCACAGAACTGGATAAATGGCAGGACTTATGGGAGAGGAATAGAAAATTAATGTTAGCCACTGCGTACAAAACACAGAATGTTTTATAGATGGCACCTCCCACCCACAAGGTTATCAAAAATGAATAAGAACCAATCACCACAGTATTGGAAATGTAATTCAGTGTTAGGATCTTTTTAGCATATGTGGTGATTATGTACAAAGGCTCAGGAATTTTGGCATCAGATAAGGACATGATTGGAAGAGATGCTAGACCAAAAAATAGACTTAAAACCAGAACTATTCCTACTAGGAATTACAAAAGAGAAATTACAAAAGAGAAATATAAGAAAAGATCGATATATTTAATGCTGCATGTTACAATCGTAGCAACATCGTTTTTTGCAGAAAAATTGGAAAATAAAATTGGTGCAGAAATGGACAGGCTGACAGTAGAATTTAAAAATAAGGGTGAAATGTACCAATGGTTGGAAATGAGGAAAAGGAAGATTAGTAGAACGGAAATCGGACTATATTTAGACAAATAGACGAAAGGGATATGTTTGTAAGATCAAAGTAGCAGTATACGGAAAGGATGAATTGTATTTGTGATTAAGTCAAAATATGTATGGAAATGGCAAAGCCAGGAGGAGCACTCTGTGTCCTATGTTTTTAATGTGTATTTACATTAAAAATAATGTTTTGAACTTAATCTTAAGGCAGAGGGAGCCACAAAGCTCTTCTTCCAGGGAGGGGAGAGGGCAACCCGTGATTCTCTGGAGCCCCCCCCTCCTCTCTGTGCAGTTGGCAAACCAGACACAGGTGCAGTCGGTTCAAATGCTCCCCATGGTGCAGCCCTTTCCCATTCAGATTCCTGGGGAGCCTATAATCTCCTATGATCTCTGCTGGGCCCTTTGGGCCAGGACTGCGATGTGAGCCCCCAGCTCAGCTCAGCTCAGCTCTTTTATAACGCCGCCCAGAGACTTAAAACTGCCCACTTTCTCCACTCGGCCTCTGGAGACCCCTGAACGGATGAGGCCCCCAGGCGAACCCCTCACAGGGGAAGCACTGACTCCAGCTGTGAGGCCAAGAGAAATCGGGCCCAAACGTCCACGGGGCCGCTTCCCTGTCTCCGGTCAGGAGGCGCCCAGAGGCGAAAGGCGGCGCCCCAGCCCACCTGCACAGGCGGAAGGTAACCGGGCCCAGCTGCCCGGGAAAAGGCAACGTTCAGGCCACGAGATGATCTGGGGGCGGCGGGGGGGCGGGGAGAGCTGCCGGGTCGGCAAAGGGGAGCCCGGCCGCTGGGTCGTCCGAGCGGGCGGGAAGAAAGCGGCCGGAGCACGGCGAGACCGCCCGGCGGCGAAAGGGCGAGGGCGCCGGGTCACCATAGCAACGGCGGCGGCGGCGGCCAGAACTTCCGGGGCGGGGCGGCGGCCGCCTACCAGGCGCGCGCCAGTTCCTCACCGATCAGGGCGGCTGGGTTGCCGGGGCCCCGCTGGAAGGGGAAGCGGAAGAGCAGCTTGTTGCCTCGGCTGCCGGAGCTCACCAGGATGACGCTGACGGGGCTGGAAGTGTCGCCCATGCTGCTGCTCTCGCCCGCGCAGCCGCCTCACCGTAGAGTGGGAGCCGAAAGGAGAGAGGGCCCATCGCCCTTTGACACCCGGCCGCGGCGCCTGCGCGATCGTCATTTGTTGGCCGCAGCCTGTCGTCACTTCCGTTTGTCTTCCGGTAGCGGGACGGGCTCCTTCAATTTGCCGCCTAGACGAAGGTCGGGGATGATGGGCGCTCAAGTCCCACCGCTTCCCGAGGGCTCTCGAAGGCCGCTTCCCCTCGCCACCCCCGTGCTTGGCCGGGGCCTGGCTCACCAGCCGCGAAAGCCGCAGGGCACACCAGAAACGGGGGGAGCCCCTGCGGCGGAAGCCTGCCCGTAAGCTGGCGGCGCCTCGGCTAGGGAATCCGGGCGTGCACGGCGCCCCGCCTCGGCTTGGCAAGCGGATGATAAGGCCGTAGGGGCGCCCTGGCTTTGGAGAGATACGCCCGGGCGCCCGCCCACCTGTCTCCAAGCTGGGGCGGCGTGGCAGCGCCTTCCGAACGGAGGGCAAGAAGGAGAGCCCGTCCAGCGGCCCAGAAGGAAGAGTTGGGAGAATATGTGCTCTTTTCAACAGTAATTTAGCCCCAACCGACAGAAAAAAAGATTTTAAAAATACTACGTAACATTAAAAATAATAAATGCCCTATGGAAATTAATTATAAATAGAGCTCCCAAATGTTGATCAAATTAGCCCTTTTACTGAAAAAAAGCTATGCTAGATTATATTGTCGATCAAGTATATTGCCGATCCTTCCAGTATTGTGTCATTTCACCTGGTAAAAATCATCCAACTTTGCTTTACACATTTTTACCTACGGGAACTGACAAACTACGTATGCAGCGTACTAGGAAAGAAGTTCAATGTCACTTATCTGATTGCCACTTTTTTTTACCATGTTTTGGGAGTTTCGGAGTTCCTTGGTTAATCAAAGCAGTTTGGTGGGGAGGAGCACAACAATAAAATGAGAAAAGGGCAAAAGGTATTCCCATATATCTGCCCAGAATTTCAGATTCTGCCTTTTTGTGCTGAAAGCAATAATGCTTGGCTGGAGCCTCCTTCTATGTCCTTGCTAACTACAAGTGTAAAAATATGTTACTAAGTTAGGAGGAGAGACTACCAGCAGAACAGTTCAAATTATCCCAACCAAAAGGTTTCTTGGAAGTTGAGAGTCACACAGATTTATATTCCTGCACACCTGACATCCTCTAAAGTATAGGAGGCTGAATGCAGCCTTTTACTTGGAACCTAAATTGTTTGGCTTCACTGGTATTTAGTCAACAGAATGGGACCGTTTGCTTTGTTATCTGTTCCTAGTGTCTTCACATCCCAATTTCCATAGTGCTGCAGGGAAGCCTCTGCTTTTACACACACAACACACACACACACACACACACACACACTTATCCCAAATACTCAAGCAGAATCCAAGGTTAGCATGACAAATTAACTTCCCGTTAAATGTGAGAAATGTAACGGCCTTTCTCAAGATGCAGTCCTGCAAAGCATTGAGGTTACGTGGCCACAAAATTTCTCGGGTTAACCAATGCAATTGGGCTGGGTCTTTGTGTCAGCCATGCCCGGTACGAGACAAGTCTTGGTGTTTTCCATTGTCGGGAAGTTAATTTGTCATGCTAACCTTGGATTCTGCTTGAGTATTTGGGATAAGTGTGTGTGTGTGTGTGTGTGTGTGTTGTGTGTGTAAAAGCAGAGACTTCCCTGCGGCGGTAGGGAAATGGGGAGGTGAAGACACTCG